TTTTAATTTTTTAATTAAAATATGAGATGAAAATATATAAAGGGTTTGAGAATATTTTTTGACTTATTTTGAAAAAAATGTGTAAAAAGGAAATGAAAGAATCTTTGATTTTAAATATATAATTTTTTACTTTTTAAATTTCTTAGGGTGAAGTTATTGAGTGTTCCTGGAGCTTGGCCATTTTCTCACTTTGGTCCTTAAAATTTGTTTTTTATTACTTTGAACTTAGTTTTTCTCAATCTATTCTTAAAGTTAATTTATGTATAAATTTAGACAAAAAATGTCATAATAACTGTCACATAACATAAAAATATATTATTATATTACGATTTGAGTTTATGTAAGAGGTATAAGTTATATATAATAAAATATTTATATATCACGTGATTATCAATGTATTATTTTCTATCAAATTTTGAACACAAGTTAGCTTTAGAAATAAATTGAGAAAATCTTAAAACATGAAGGATCAAAGTAAAAAGGTGGCCAAATATAGAGGGGGTATGTGTATTTTATCCTTTTTAATGACTTTTAAATTTTAAAACTAAAACATCATCTCCCAAACAAGGCCAGTCATTTCTATAGACTTCAATTTGATAGTTTAGAGGATCAATCTAAATAGTTTATCCAAGCACAAGCTCTTGGTTTCTACTGGTTGATTTTTCTGTCAATGTGAATTATGAAATAGCAAAAGTCATATTTAAAGGTGAAATGTAAATGTAAATGAGAAAGTAAGATATCGTTCGGCAATGTTTACAGTTTTTTTATTTATAGTTTATAGAAAATATTAAATATGTTTATGTTTATTTTTGGTAAAAATGAAGATAAATAGCGTGTTTGGTGCAAATATATTTTAAATTTTGTTTTAAAAAAAGTGAAAAGGGGTGGTTGTTAATAATTGGAGATAGTGATCAAAGGTGGTTGTTAGCTGGAAGGTAGTGGCTGAAAGTGGTTGCCACTAGTGAGAGGTAGTTGATGGCCATGGAAAGTGCTAGTAAAAAGTAGTTGCTACTAATCGGAGACGATGGTTGGTCAGTCGCCTAAGGAGGTAGTTAAAGGTGATTTTTAATAAAAACTTGTGGTCAAAAATGATTAACACCGGTAGGAGGTGGTTAGTGGCAATGGAAGGTGGTTAGTGGTTGAGAGAGGTGGTGGCCAGAGGTGTTTGGCAAAAGAAGTCATTGTCAATGGTAGTCGGTAGTGATGAGCAATAGGTGGTGAGAGAGAAAAAAAAAAAGAAAAAAAAAAGAAAAATTAAACAAAAAATTGAAATCAATTTTTTTGTGTTTACAAAATTTAATAAATCTTGAAAACTGTTTATAAGTTTTTGAAAACGAAAATAGAAACTAAACAAGTTTTTTTGTTTATAATTTTCAAAAATTCTGAAAATATAAACATAAAACTGTAAATATAAACATTAATAAACAAGTCCCAAAAGTGTACAAAATGTGAGATGAAATCAGACTCAAGTGTAGATTACACAAGAATTTAACAACATTTTTCTGTGTGTCTCTCTTTTTTAATAGGTAAAAAATTGATTACAAATATGTGAAGTATTATATCAAAATGGACAAATTAAAGTCTAATAGTTACAAAGGCCAACAATCATAGTCCAAATGGGAAGAAATGAACAATTATATGCAACTCGCATGATGATAAAAAAATAAACACCGTAAATTATTTCAAACTACTCTCTATTTATGAGTTGAGCATGCAACCTTACACCACATAATAGTGTTACATAATCACTAATTTAAAATCCTTAATTTACTCCATCTTATATAATCTAATTTAGTAGTAAAAAAATTATGTGCCCTTAACGTAGCAAAATGTGAATAGGTTTTGGATAGTGCCAGAGTTGGCTTTGTAATGGATTACTGAGGGTTCAATCAATTTAATTATTTTTTAATTATTATTTTTTTTTTTATAAAAGATGCATGCATACAAAAATAGAGAGAATAAATTAATTTTTTGTAATAAATTTTTAGGTAACACTACAAGAAAATGGGGCTTAAAAGACGGAACTATTTGCGACAGTACACTTGCCGTTGCAAAAAGTGACTTTTTGCGACGGTAAAAAATACCGTCTCAAAAAACAGAGTATTTGCGACGGTAAAAAGCCGTCTCAAAACCAGAGTATTGTCGACGGTAGAAAAATACCGTCGCAAAAAAGGAGAGTATTTGCGACGGTATTTTTCTACCGTCGCAAATACTCTGTTTGGAGACGGATTTTTTTACCGTCGCAAATACTCTGTTTTGTGGTTTTTTTTTTAAGTGAATATTTTTAAATTTTTAAATATTTTTTTTAGATGCACTTTACTTAAATGTATCTAAAAAAAAAATTATGAAAAAATATTTTTAAAAATTAATAAATACATACAAATATAAAAAAAAATGTATTGAATTATTGTATTTCCTTTGTATTTTTGGTATTTAGTGAATTTTTAAAAGATTTTTTACTTTTAAGATGTATTTATGTTAGTGTGTCTAAAAATTAAAAATATAAATATTAAAAAAATTCAGTAAAATATATAACACGAAAACAAGAAAGTATAATTTTCTCAAAAGAGTTTTTGGAAAACTCTAACCTACAGGAGTAGTGATTGTGGTTTTGAGACAGCTTCATCTATATACGTCACAAAATAGTTTGAATAAATTCAATGGTATTTTTCTGTCACAAAAAAAATAAAAAAAACGATGTCGTCTTACTTTTTTAATATAACATCTCTTTTCATTCATTTTTTCATCTTCCTGTCTCTCTGTATTTATCTCTCTCTGTTCTCTTTATCACTTTCACTCATCACTCTTCTTTCTCTGTCTGTCTGTGTATCTCTCTCATTTTCTCTCTGTGTCTCTCGCATATCTTTCTTCTCTCTATCTCTTATGTCTTCTCTCTTTATCTCTCTCGCTCATCTTTCTTCTCTCTATCTCTCTTATTTATTTTTTTTTCTCTCTCTCTCTTATTTATATCTCTCTCTATCTCTCTCGCCCATCTCTCTTTTTCTGTGTCTCTCTCTCGCTCATCTCTTTTTGCTCTATTTCTCTCTTTTTGTCTATCTTTCGCTCATCTCTTGTTTCTCTCTCTTTTTCTATCTCTCATTCTCTCTCTCTCTCTGTCTCTTTTTCTGTTTGTCTCTCTCTCTCTGTCTCTCTCTCACTCTCACTCTCTCTCACTCATCACTCATCTCTCTCTCTGTATGCTTGTCCATTTGTGTATTTCTCCCTCATTATATTCGTCTTGCCCACTCTCTCCGTCTCATATTCTCTATTTATTGAGCTTCTCCTCGATTTATCTATCTTTTCTCTCATATCTTTTCTCTCTCTATCTCTTTCGTTCATCTCTCTTCTCTCTATCTCTCTCGTTCATCTATTTTCTCTCTCTGTCTCTTTTTCTGTCTCTCACTCTCTATCTTTTTCTCTCTTTGTCTCTCTTTCTCTCTCTAGCTCATCACTCTTCTCTGTTTGTCTGTCTGTCTGTCTCTGTCTCTCGTTGTCTCTCGCTCATATCTCTCTCATCTGTCTTCTCTCTCTGTCTCTCTCACTCATCTCTCCTCTTTATCTCTCTCGCTCATCTCTCTCTGTCTCTTTCTCATTTATCTCTTTTCGCTCTTTCTCTCTTTGTCTATATCTTTTTATCCATTTTTTCATCTTCCTTTCTCTTTTCTCTTTCTTTTACCGTCTCAACCTTACTAAATATAAAAAAAATAAAATTCATAAACTATAAAAAAAAATTATTTTAATAAAAAATAATTTTTTTAACAATTCTTCCGTTGCAAAAAAAAAAAAAAAATCTTCTCTCTCTGTCGCTCATTTCTCTTCTCTCTCTGTCTCTCTCTTTTTCTGTGTCTCTCTCTCTCGCTCATCTCTTTTCGCTCTATTTCTCTCTTTTTTTTGTCTATCTCTCGTTCATCTCTTGTTTCTCTCTTTTTTTCTATCTCTCCCTCTCTCCATCTCTCTCCCTATCTCTTTTTCTGTCTATCTCTCTCTTTCACTGTCTCTCTCTCACTCATCACTCTTCTCTTTCTCTCTCTCTCTGTCTACTTGTCTATTTGTCTATCTCTCCCTCACTATGTTCGCCTTACTCACTTTATTACTCTCATCTTCTCTATTTATTGAGCTCCTTCTCGATTTATCGATCCACTACAAACGATGTCGTCTTACTCTTTTGAACATTTCTCTTTTCACTCATTTTTTTATCTTCCTATCTCTCTGTCTCTCTTCTCTTTCTCTCTCTTATTCATCACTATTCTCTGTTTGTCTCTCTCTCCCTTTCTCTATGTGTCTCTGTCTCTTTTCTCTCTCTCTCTCTCTTATCACTCTTCTCTTTCTGTTCATCTCTCTTTTTCTCTCTGTTTCTGTCTCTCTTCTTTTTCTCACTCTAACTCATCACTCTTCTCTATCTGTCTGTCTATCTCTCTATTTTTCTCTATGTCTCTCGTCTATCTCTCTTCTCTCTATCTCTTTCATATATCTTCTCTCTCTGTCTCTCTTCTCTCTCTCTCTTATTTTTTTCTCTCTCGCTCTCTCGCTCATCTCTTTCTGTCTCTCTCTCTCTCTCTTATTTATCTATTTTCGCTCCTTTTTTTTTCTCTCTCTCTGTCTCTCTCTTTGTCTATATCTTTTCACCAATTTTTTCATCTTCTTCTCTCTCTTTTCTTTCTCTCTTTTATTCATCACTCTTCTCTCTCTCTATTTGACTCTCTCTCTCTGTCTCTGTCTCTCATTTATTTATCTCTTCTCTCATCTATCTTCTCTCTTTTTCATTGACCACAAAAATTAACTTTATTTTAATGGAAAATATTATTCTTATTTTTACCAAATAAAAAAATAATAATTATTTTTTATTCATTAAAATAAATATAAAACAAATAAATTTTTAACTTTATCAAATGAAAAAAAAATTTATCAACTATAAAAATTATTTTAATAATTTTTTATTTTAATAAAAAATTCATTAACTATAACATTTGTGGGCTTGTTCTGGGTTTTGTTTGAGAACAAACACAAACACAACCCAAACACAACAGAGCCGTCCCTCTCCTCCTGCTCGCTCTCTCTCTCTCTCTCCATCTAGGGTTTCGCCTTCCTCTCCTCCAAGGCGGCGGCGGCGATATGTGCAAAACCATCGAAGTCGCCGTCGTAGAACCACCACAACTCAACCCTCTCACGAAGCTCTCGCCGCCGAGCCTCGACGACTTCGACCCCACCGACGACGACGGGTTTTATATTCCTCCTCTGAACTTCGCGATGGTCGACAATGGCATTCCTCCAAGGCGGCGGCGGCGGTGGCGATATGTGCAAAACCATCGAAGTCGCCGTCGTAGAACCACCACAACTCAACCCTCTCACGAAGCTCTCGCCGCCGAGCCTCGACGACTTCGACCCCACCGACGACGACGGGTTTTATATTCCTCCTCTGAACTTCGCGATGGTCGACAATGGCATTTTCAGGTCCGGTTTCCCTGACACCGCCAACTTCCCCTTCCTCCAATCCCTAGGCCTCCGTTCCATCATGTAAGTAAAAAAAAAAAAATTCAACCTCATTGATTATATGGCAGTGATGTGTTGGAAAATTATGTGTCAGTGAATGATTTGAATTTGCTGATTATATACAGATTTGATGATTATAGGGCTTTGGTTTTGCAGATGCCTTTGTCCAGAACCGTACCCGGAGGCAAATGCCGAGTTTGTCAAGTCAAATGGGATTCAATTATTTCAATTCGGGATCGAAGGTTGCAAGGTAAGTCTTGTAATTTTTGTTTATTTATTTATTTTTTGTGTTACTTTTTTACTTATTAGCAGTGGGTGCAAACTCGATTTGTTTGTAATTTTACATTTTTGATGATGGAGGGGCCATTTGATGAATAAAGAAATCATTTAGCAGAACAGTAATTGAAATTGACCGATACAGGAAAGGCATTATTGGAAAAATAAAAAGCTAATAGTATAGATACTATAGTATAGATTATCAATTTTATTTTTTTATTTTTTTTGATTTGGTATGGTAATTTGAGTGTGACATGGAATGCTTGTTCTTTGTGATGTGGAGGAACAGGGGATTGTAATAATGCAGTTGATTATGTGAAGTGGATTGAGTTCACTATTTAAGACTGAACAACCAATTGTGTGAGGGGTATGTATACCCTTTTGGGTAAAAAAGAAGAGAGAAACTGATGGATTTGAAAATAGTCTTTAAATGGCTAAAAGCGGTTGTCCTTGTGGCATGTTGAATTTGAAAATAATTTGTTTATCCTCTAGTTCTGGCCTTGGAGTTCTCATTTTCTAGACATGGGTTGTTTAGATTCTAAATTAATAGGACTTCAATTCTAAATAATTATCCTTGACGCAAAGTGAGTAGTATCTTGAATAATTGAAGGTTCTTAGACCTCATAGGGTAGGTGTACATGACATCATTTCTGTTTTGTGTTTTAAATCTTGGTTCATCTATGAAACTGATGGATGTATTTAAATATGCCAGACATATTTAACTTAAATATGCCAGATATATTTAAATTCCTTATGGGATAAATTTGGGATGAAAAGAAGTTTTCAGGATGGAACGCATAATGTCAGTCTCTCTGAGTATATTAACAGAGTCGTCAAAGCCATGTATATATATAGACAAATTGTGAGTGTATATTTATAAGCAAAACAGTAAGACACTAGACTTGTTGAATTGGATATTTCTTCATATGCACATAAGCATCAATATAATTATTAATTTATTATTTCCAAAGCACCGTAGATGTAACTGCATCAAGCACAAAAATGTGTTTCTTGTGCTTTGTGCATGGGTTGGATGACGTTTATCCACTATCTCCTGAACAAAACTATCATAAGTGTTCACCAAACTAAATATTTTGTGTGTTTGGGGGCTAGAAGGGGATTCTTTATGCAACACGCTCTGAATTTGAGGTGCTGCAGAGTACAAGCATATAAATATTAATGAATAAGAAATCCATGAAAAATGCCCGAGAGAATGTGTCACTTGGAATATGAAGCTTAGCCCAAGGAGAAGTATTTAGGATGTAGGCCAATACCTTGAATTATCCATTTCTAAAGACTTGAGGCATATATGGGGATCCTTTTCTGTGTGCTTGTTGACCTTCAAGAAGTCAGGTTCTCTCTGGAGTTTATGGGCTGGGAAAATGAATTCTCTTCATGTTCAAGAGTCAGAATGTGGCATGGTCCGACCTTGGAACCATTTCTTGGACAGTAATGATACAATGACTAGATTTAGATACCAAATTTTGGATATCATTTGATATGCCACCAATGCATTAGTTTAATGGGTCATAACTTTCATGCCTTGTACGTTATAGCAATCCATTATTGATACATTTGGTAACCAAATTGGTCACTGTTGCATTCTGTTTCTCAGAACTTCAGAGTATTCTTTTAAATCTTAAATAGTGCATTTAATAATTGTTCACATAAATATGTATGCTCTTAATATACATTGTATTTTATTTTATTTATTATTACATTTTCGAGGTTATGTTTTTTTTTGGTCACCGTTGTTCATCCTACGTGTTGTCCCCTTTTGCAGTTTTGTATTGGCACCATAAAGGATGATTTCTTGGGTGTGATCAGTGATCCAGGTGTTATTTCTTAATGGAAGTGATATTCAATATATAGCTAGGAGCCTTTCTCTCAGTTTGCTTTTAAGAAATGGGAGTGTTTCAAACTGTTGAATTATTTTTGTCATCTGCATACTTTTTTGATGTGTCCGGAAATGACTTTTTTGTTTATAGATATTATATAGATCATTGGAATGGAAATCCTTTGATATGCATGCTGTTGTGTCTGCCATCGAAGATCTTTTTTAATTCATATTGTCTGATAAGGGTTTGAGGGTACGTGTTTTCCTGGTCCGGGACATAATTAAAGCAATTGATATTTTTCTTCAGGATGAAGTAGTTGCAAACATTTTCGATGAGAAGGTTCAAGCTAGAGAGACAGCTGAATCTGAGGTTCGTTTCAATTCCTCCATCTCTCTCTCTCTCCCCCCTCATGTGCTGGTGCATGTTTTAGTTAAACTCTACAACTTATAGATAATAGAACATCATTTTGATGTGGTTTAAAAGAAGTAGGAAAGCCAAAACATGAATTAGGAAACCCAAAAAAGTTGTTTTCGAAAAACTATTTTCATGCAAAAATTAAAGTGTTATATGAAAATGTTAGGTGTTTTCGAACTTTTTATTATCTTGTTTTTGAAAACATGAAAATGAAAAAACAAAAACAAAATCAGAACTGAACATATTTCAGTTGGTAATATTGTCATGAGATCAACTATGAGAATTAATGTTGTTTTGCAGGGACATGCAATGCTGATGAGAGTGGTTAATGGGCTTAAATCTTTCCGGCATGCAGTGAAGTTGGCCCCGGAGGTGTGGACTGCTATGCTAATCCGCATGACAGTGAAACCCGAGGCTCACAAATTTACATTTGACATCATTTCAGCCTTATTGATACATTTTAGCCGAAAAATTCCAGAGACCTTTTGGATTTGTATATCTAGAATTCTTCACAAGTTGGTGAAAAATTATAGCCATGTCGATTTATGATTTAGGTGGATTCTTCATTTGCTCATTTTTTTTCTCTAGCTATTTATTTATTTGAGTGAAACTATTTGTCTGATGCAATTTTAAAGATTATATATCTGAGTTTGGCTCCGAAAGTTGAGTGATTGTAAAATACTTTTTTTAGTAGTGTTTGTAAAATATTGAATTTGATGGTTTGATCAATTTAAATTTTTATTTTTATTTTCTGTTATGATGTTTTTGTGAATAGAATGTAAATAATCAGCTCTTAGAGAGAGACGGCACCACCGTCGGAAAAAATAGAAAATTTTAATATTTTTATTAATTTTGTTACAGGTTTTACTTTTTGCGACGACATTATACTGTCGCAAAAAATAGAAATTTTATTATTTAAAATAGAAATTTTATTATTTTTTAATATTTTTTGCGACGGCATTACACTGTCGCAAAAAATAGAAAATTTCATATTTTTTATATTTTCTGCGACGGCACCACACCGTCGCAAAAAGTAGTGTTTTTTTAAAAAAATAAGACTATTGGCGACGGTATTTTTTGCCGTCTCAAATAACATTTTTAGCGACGGTAAAATAGAGCCGTCGCAAAAAAGTCAAGAAATTTCAAACGTTTTTAGCGACTGCACGGTGCCGTCGCAAAAAGGCAAAAATGCCGTCGCAAAACATTAGCGACGGCACTTACCGTCGCAAAAACTCTTTTGCAACCCCTGCTGTTGCGACCCCCCTCTTGCCGTCGCAAAAAGTAGTTTTGCCGTCGCAAAAAGTATTAGCGACGGCATTAGGAGTATTAGCGACGGTATTTTACCGTCGCAAAAAGTCAATTTTTTTGTAGTGTACCCAGTTGTCCTCCATAAGTAGCCACTTAATCATTTCTAACCCATTTTAGTTCAAAGGCTACAAGTTAAGACTAAAAGGCTTCAAACCGTACAACCTATTGTAACAAGCCCGCGGGGGACCTCGCTACAGCTCGGACTCGACTTTTGTTGTCACGGTTCTAAATCTGAACCAAAGAGTCCAAATCCGGCAAATCGTTTTAGGAAAACTGATTTTTGAAAGAAGTGCCAAACATGGACTGCTTTGCCAGATACAGAGTCGCCACCTAAATATTTTATTTTGGGAAATTTAGGAAACCCTGACTCGGTGCCAAAAGGCCACGTGTCGTCATCACCAAAGTTGCCTCGGCTCAGGAACTTGGGTACGAGAGGGGAAGGTCATGCAATGAGCGGACCCTTTGGACATTGCCATGTTTTTGGCAACTTTGACATCCTTTAGAATATGTAATGCAATCATTTCTTATAGCTAGCAAAAAATAGCCATACCTCTTAATCAACCACCTCATTTTATCCCCAGTTTGATGGGCTCTATAGCCATTGCCTTCATTTGGTCTTCATAGCCAATACACAACAATGTCAACCCATCAACCCATCATGTGCCTTTCTAAATAAATCATCACCCATGATGACATAATTTAGAGCTTGGTACCTTACTTGCCTGTCAGATCCTTCATTAGGATTAGACAAGTATTATCAAAGGGAATCTCCAATCAGTTTCAAAAGGAATCTCCAATCATTTTTAGATACTTCGAAGGCCATTACTAGTAAGAAATTCCAATGTCAATCCCTAAAGGTCAAGGAATTCCTATTTTAAATTCTTATTATTCTTTCTTGGGCCCATTTAGAAATCTTCAATTTTGATGTTGCTTGAGCCATCTCATTGGCTTCTTTATTCTCTAATCTATATGTGACGCCCCAAATTTTGATAATATAATACAACGATACACCGGGGTTTAACTAGCGGATACACATCATTTTTAAGCACAAAACACAAATAATTATACTAAAAGAAAATATTAATAATAGTCACAGATGAAATTCTTCAAGTCTTTAAATATATATCAGTTCCTTGATACAAAAAGATTATCCCAAATACAGGAAATATACAATCTAATCTCTAAGGAAGCCATGGTTCCACAAAGAATTCAGGGATTCTGTTCTCAATGTAAAACTCGTCATCACCTGGCATAAAATGCCATGAGCTTGGAATGCCCAGTAAACACATACACCCCAACCCTTTTTCCATTCCAAATATACAAGTAACATAATGGCACAATCATAAAATACAGCGAAAGCAATAATTAAGTAGAGCTTAGAATTAAATTTCAGTTCTCATGAATAATAGTCCATTTTAGTTAGTTCAAAGCAATTACCCGCAAAATGCCATTCTTACCCAACCACTAGCACTGGCCACGGACAATTCTGACTCCCCCTTGGTTAATATAATACCAATGCGTCGCTTACCTCATAACCACCATTGCGTCACTTACCGCACAATTACCAATGATACCCACACACCTAGGTTACATACCCGAGTGGTGACATCACGGTCTGCCCCAAGGGAACGGGCTTCCAGGGATACTCTCCTTGTGTGAGACTCTCACTGCCATCCTTATGACTCTCATTTCCGTTAAGTAGCCAGAATACCTCTTGTGCTATGTTAGGGTTCGAAAACACACTTGCGCAAGACTTCACAAAAACGGAATACATTCCACTATATCATACTCTTGAATCCATCGTTCATTATCTCATAAAATTTAATATAATGATCGCAACCTATCACCATCTCATTTGATTTCCCCTTTATTACGTACATTATGTTCTCAATTATAGCAAAGCATGGTCAGTATAATTACGAATCCAAACTAAGCAAGTAATTTATTCATGGTAAAGCAAATTCACAATTTATCATAGATTACATATCGAGACTAAAATATTCAAGAAACATAGAATATAAGAGTTGCAAAGTACTTGGCCTCATATGAGTTTGTTGATAAATAAGTCTAGTTTCAAACTTAATTTACGAAAGTATGATAGGTATTTTAGATTTTAAGATAATTCAGAATTACCAAGATCTGTCCAGATTCGTTGACTGTTACGCAAATCGGTGTTTCTCTCGAACCACTCACTCTCTTGAGTTCAAACAAATTTTAGTTAAAATATAACTCCAAGATTAAGATTTTGACATAAAATTGGACTCAAGATTATTTTTCTGGAATTTTATAAAAATAGAGAAAGTTGACTGTTTTTCTGGTTCTGTGAGTAACAAATTTAAAAAAAAATTTGTTTAGGTTATAAAAATACATACTTAGGTCTTACAAAAATTATCACATGCTCTAGACATACCAAATATTACATCATAAAAATGGATTTTGAGTTTATGGAGTTTTGATAGGAAAATGAATTCAAGAGAGGGAAAAGATTTGTTGCTGGAAATTTAAGAAATAAAGAGAAGTATACCACCCATGGCCTGCTGACCCACTGGCTCAGCCACATTGGCCTGACCAACTCCCTCCTGCACTGCCAGAATCTCACCCGGTAACGGTACTTCCTGCCTCGCAGGTCTACCACGCCTAGCACCTCTTCCTCGTCCTACTGAAACTAATCACATTGGTTAAGTCATTGATTTAGACTGTTGAATTAATACAGAAAATACATGTATTGATTGTGTGTTGTATATGACGAGTGTTTAATACATTGTATATGCATTTTTGTTTGGGAGGAGATAGGGGATGGACTCCATTAGCATCACTATTATGTGTGCTTATTGATATTGAAGTGTTTTTACATGTTATTGATACAACACTAAAATGTGTATCAAACAGGAAGTATGAAGTGTTTTGATATGAGCCTGAGTCGCATTTGTTTTGTTGATATTGGAAGTAATGTGAATATGATATACAGTTTACTATTGTAAGTTTGGCTAGGTTCTGAGCCATATTGATAATAATGGAAAGTGAAACGTGCCATAGACATTAGTGTCATGAGACTGTATAATGATATAATTGACTATCTTGGTTAACCACCTATTGAATGCTATTACTTTATTCGATGCTTATATTTGGTTTAGTATATTTCTACTGGGCTGTGGCTCACCCTATATGGGAACATCATTTTCAGGTCCAGGTGATAAGCTACCTCCAAGGACTTAGCTTGGAAGGAATTTGGATTTTGAAGACTACCTTTAGTTATTTGTTCTTATTTGATAGTACATGTAAATATTCAAGCTTAGGACTTTACTTGTATTTGAGTTAGAACTCATATTTTTGTGTCCAAGTGTTGGCTTGGAAAGATGTAAGCCCGTAGGGCATTTAATTTGATGTTACATGTAATGCTTTTATTTAGTAATACTTTGATGAATAAGATAATGAATTGTTTTATTTAAATATTGCATTTCATTGATAAATATATATAGGGGTTTATTTTGAGGCGTTACAGGCTGGAAGCGTGGTGGGGTTGGCTGACGGTGGTCCCGTCACTATCACTGGGCCTGGAGCGATCACGTTGTTTGCCATAGGTCTGGACTCAGAGAGAAATGACTATAGAGAGAGACAGGGGGAGAGAACTTAGGGATGGGATGGCGTGTTTTATACATAATGATTTGATATGATGTGCAATAAAGTTTTATGATGTGCAATAAAATCTTCATTTATCAACTAACCTAATTAATTGGAATGTTATTCATATTTTTCTTCAAAACCTTCACTTTGAGATGAGCTGTCAGGTGGATAGTAAGTAATATTCAGATAAATTGAAAATGCTCCCAAATCTTATTGTATTATGTGACAATATAATTAATTAATAAACTTATATTATAATAGTGAAAATTATATGCTTTGATACATAACGTATCCATCCAATTCTATTTGTAATTTTTTGAATAAATTATAATTATACGTAATTTCGATGATCTAAACTATTTATTTTGTTGAACATTTTGAATATATCATCTATACAAAAAGATCAGATTAGTCCAATAATTATAAGGAAAATGTTTGGTGGCCACAAAATCTGTTGCTCAAATGGCCCGAAATTGCCAAAACGACGTTGTTTTGCGTCGTTTTGCACCTAAAATGACGTCGTTTTGAGTGTTTTGAGTCATTTGAGCCACAGAATTTGTGCCCCCTAGCATTGCTGTAATTATAACATATTCAATTTATTACGTTTGTCGCAAAAAAAAA